TTAGAGTTTAGGGTTCAGGGTTTAATGTTTGGGGTTTAGGGCTTAAGGTTTTGGGGGTGTCAGGGGATTTAGGAATCAGGCTTCAGAGCGTGTTGTGGTGTTTCTTGCTGTTTGCAACGGCTTCGTAATGTGTTTCGTGAGGCTGTTATATAAAAGGTCTTGAAAGGGTTCGCACGGAATCCCAAAGCGTCATGGTAACGGAATGTTTTGTTGGGACTCATAGCTAATGTACTGGCCTTCATAATTGGCATAGGTTGTTGGGGGGTATCTTAAATTATAATTATACTGTACTTAGAACAAGAAACCCCCCAAAATAGCATAGGTAATTTTTTCAGGCCCCTATAGCTACCCAAAGGCCCCATAATAGTTCCTCTTTGAAATTCCCCAATAGGATTCTAAATATGAACCCCAAAACGGAACTACTATGGGGCTTATGAGCTTATGGGCATGCACATGGCCACCCAAAACTCTCTTCTTCAACAACCAGGCCCAAAAAAGTTAAAACTTTTTAGGACAGACCAAATATATAAGGCCAAAAATGTTTCAAGTTCTCCTACTGGCTAACTAAGAAAATGCTGCTCCACAGACCACCCCACAAGGCTGCGGCAGGGTTTTTCTTGAACATGCTCGTCAAGTTCTTCGGGTCAGTAGAGGGCGAGAGAAGGCTGAATCCTAAACCCTAAACCTTGAACCCAAACCCTACAGCTGGCACGCTTGCATGACCAAGCTCTGAACAGCGTTGCCTCGGGTCCTTGCTGTCATTTTGACTACTGGTGCTATATGAGTTCTGGACTCTAAGGCTGGATTCAGTCCATTATCCTAAACCCTAAACCCTCAGAAACTACGAAATCCAGGTTGAAAGTCACGTGATTCTGAACCTCCATAGCGTAAGCTTCTATTCCATCCGGCTGTAGACTCCACAATCTACTCAAGAGGCCCAGAGCCCCAAATCCTAAACCCTAAGTTTGCACCCAAACCCCAGACCCTAAACACCCTAATCCCTAAACACTCTCCATCATATGAATATAGTACACCTTAATTCATTGCCTTAGAACTTGGGGATTTCGGTGCCTTTTTCACCAAATTCTCACGAAGGAATCGCCGAATTCTCACGAAGCCGGTCATTCGTGAGAATTTGGGCATTTCGGTGTGTGTGTTTCCTAGTTTCGCCAAATTCTCACGAAGGAATCGCCAAATGGTCACCTAGGTTTTTGGGCCTTCGAGTTTAAGACGAGGGTTTTGGTGTTCAGGGTTTAAGATCTCAGCTTTCAAATTTACTACAAGTCTTGGGTGGGTGGGATGATTTCTGGAGCTGAACCCTAAACCCTGAACCCTAAGCCCTAAGCCCAAAGCCCTACGTCCTAAGCCCTAAGCCCGCAGCTGCTGCTTAAGCACGGGCCTGAGGCAAATCTTTAGCACAGAACCCGGGAAACCTCACCAACCTTCAGGCTAGACTTACCGATGATTAAGCTTAAGGGCGAACATGTCATGCACAGCGCAGCGATAATCGCTACTAGTGGTGCCTGTGCTAGCAGTCATGCCCGATTGGAGAAGATAAAGACGATGCCGGTCCACATGGTCATGATGCCGGTGAGGACGTTGGCGGTGGTGCCAATGCGGTGATTGCCGGCGATGTCTTCTTCTTGTTCTTATTGTTGTTGTTGTGGTTGTTGTTGTTGTTGTTGTTGTGGTTGTTGTTGGTTGTTGTTTGTTGTTTGTTGTTTGTTGTTTGTTGTTTGTTGTTTGTTGTTTGTTGTTTGTTGTTTGTTGTTGCTGTTTGTT